TCATTTAAGACCAGTATATATAGGGGTCAAAAGGTTGACTTTACATTCTGTTTTTCTTTTTTTCATAATTTCGTTTTTGTAAGACTTTCCCACTATTGAGAGAGAAACCTTTTTTTCATTGTCGTTTACTTGTCTCTTTCCGGATTCTGCACATAATTCAATTTATGATTTCGCTGCGATTGTCAATTTGATTTTACTCATATTCCAATTCGCGACTACGTGGTTGAATTTTTGAATCATCTCATCTCAAGCGCGGATTGTAAGACTAATTGATCACTCTGAGTTTGTCTTTTCGCTTTCTCGCAATTCTTGGTTAAGATTTGTGCATACATAATTCGATTAAATTTGATTTTTATTCTTGATTGTAAGATCGATCGATTGATTTTTTTTTGCATTCAAGGTTTAGGCAAATTCGGTATAGCAATCATAGTTTTGTTTCGTTTGCATTTGTCTCTCTTTCAATTCTGTTCATTTTAATTCTATTCATTTTAATTATGTTCGCTTTAATTCTGTTTGCTTTAATTTTGTTTGCTTTTATTCCGTTCTTTTAATTTCAATTTGTTCTTCCTTGTATTTGGTTTAGTTTTTTTGGGTTTAATTTGTTTTTGTTTTCTGGATTTAATTTGTTTTCTGGGTTTAATTCATTTTCTGGGTTTAATTCATTTTCTAGGCTTAATTCGTTTTCTGGGTTTGAATTCGTTTATTTAATTCAATTTCAATTCAAATTGTTTTATTGCATTTTCTTGCAATTCAATTTCTGTTGCCAATTTACGTTTCTGTTCAATTTCTTAAAAATTACAAAACCTCCAATTTAATCACCATTGCATGTTTAAAACTAAAAACAGAATGAACTTGTGTCCTTGTGGATGACCTAGGTTTGCTCTCTATATTGTATAATTATTTGAAGAATCTAGTTTTGTTTGAAACCATTACGACGTGTTGTCAATATTATTGTATTGAAATGAACAGATTACAAGAGAGGGAATTAACAAAATGAATATCTTCTTTTTCTTTACTAATCACTACTTCTTTTATATAGCCGCTAACCCACCTAACCATCTAACTAACCAATAGACTTGCTATAATTAGAAAATGCATGGTTACACCCTCTATGAGCTGGCTAACTAACCTTCAACTCTTTTAACAACTTCTAACTAACAATTCACCAACTAACCTTCAGCTCTTTTAACAACTTCTAACTAACAATTCACCAATTACATTTATTTACAACACAATTATAAAAGATCCTGCATCATTCTTTAGGGCCAAATCCAAGAAAAGCATTAGCATATTTCTCCTCTAGAACTTCTCTTTGCCTCAAATGCTTCATTGCAAAAAATTCAATGTAGAACTTGAGAGAGTCATTAGATAATTTTAATCATCTAATTAACACAAAAAATGTACTAATTAACAAAGACCCATGTCACAAAAAGCTAACTTGATAGTGCGTTCAAAGTCACCAACATGGTAGACGATATGAAGCAAGCGACGAAGATATGCTAAAGGGGGTTGTGGTGAGGTGAAGGGAGGAGCTAACAGGATGAAAGAAAAAAAAGTTAAGAGTACTTTTCTACAATTATGTAAAAATATGTTTAAGGACTTATTTGTAATTATATAATTTTAAATAATAAAAAATAAAAAATAAAATTACGTGGCATGTTATGTGGTGTCACGTAGGTGTGTTAAGCTGATACTTTGTCAGCCAAGCTCATCACTTAATAGAAGGGAGTTAACGACAGGGACTAAATCCTAATTTTTTAACTTTTTAGGAACTAAATTCTAACAAAAAAATTTATAAAAGATTTATCGCAAAATGCTCTATATTTATAGGGACCAAAAATATAATTAAGCCTTAAATTAATTATGAAATATTTATTATATTATTAAATTTTTTTTATAATTGCATGACGAGTGGAATTTTTTTGAACTTAAGGTATGACTTTTAAAGGAAACCAAAAAAAATTATCAAAATAAGAAGAGGGATAAGTTTTAAGATTTTACACAAGAAATTTTTTTGAGAAACTGGATCTTTCTCATAATCACGTTATATCTAGATTAATTTCATATTTTTTAAATTGATTCAAGTACTAGTCAATACATTGCATTGAATATATGTGATAATGAAGACATTGATTGCATGATTAGTGCATATCAATAACAAAGTAATACAATTGTTATTGAGTTATACGTCGATATTGTAATTGGTGAGTGTTCAACATTTGTCTCACAAATTTTAAACTAAAATTTATCAATGTCACTAGCTAATAATATCGACATGCATGGTGAATATACAAGTGTCAAGAGGTACACAAACTTTTATTAATTTATTTTTATTTAAATTATTTGTTATGAAAATACATATTTACTAAATTATTGCAATTTTAAAAAAGTGGACATGAAAATGAATATGAAGATAAGGATGTTGATAAAGGACAAATTTTATTAGACAATCCGTCAAATACTGACTTGGATGATTATTTTGATTCAAACCTTAAACTTACCACAACAAACTATTAGAGGTATTGTTAATGATTGAGATTTTATTAGGCATAAACTTATGTAAGTTTAGATGATGAATCTTGATAAGGTTTTAATGGAGATGATGACAAAATTCTTTTTTGGAATGTAAGTGCACACTACAAGTATATTAATAGGGAAAACCTTGATCAATAAATGGAAATAAAAGATTTAAATGAGTCAAAATCATGGGTTTAAGGAGATTCATTATATGTTGATTTGCTATTTGACTCTAAAGAATAAGTTAAAATGCTATGAAAATACATCAGAATTATTTTATGATTGAATCAAAACCAATAAAGTTGCATGTAAAGTATTTGAACCACAGGAATAGTTGTTTATAGAGAGTGAGAATTTTCATTGTTTAAAAGTTCAAATAAGTGAAATATATAGTGAGGTGGTATAAATATTCACTTATATAATGTTATTTTAAAATTTAATTACAATAATAATAAAATTAATTAATTATACTAACTTCTTAAAGATCACAAAAGTTGGGAAGAGGAAATGTTGCAATTGCAAGGAGATGTCAGTGACAGTAGCAGAGAGAACACTTACATTGATTGCAATGTATGATGACAGGAGCAACAACAATAGTTGCAAGAGCAACAATGATGGCAACAATAACAATGACATCAACAACAGTAGCGGCAACAACAATAGAGTAACAAATACAAAGAAAATAGATAAGGAAGAAAGGGATGAGAAGGGATAACTAACATTGTTATAGTTGACTGACATGACATGTAGCCTTTGTAAGTTTCATTTGTGTTAGGGATAAAACTTACAGATAATATACCATATCTCAAAATGGTCTCTAATCATTTAAATTTAATTTTTTTTAAAAATTCAGTTTTATCTCCAATATAAACAAAAAATTTAATAGAATTTTGATATATGTAAAATTTAATAGAAATTTAAAAGAAAAACACCTTCTAACATAGTCTCAATGAAATATTGATCTTTTAATAAATAGGATTAATAAAAGTTTAATTTAAAATTGATAAGAATAAATATAGATAGTGAGATTAAGTTTAATAATATTAAATAAAGAATTTATATTACAATATTTTAAAAAAAGAATATAAAAATAAACAGATTATAACTATTTTTATTAATTTATCTAATTTAGTTAAAATATATTACTAAAATAACTAAAGGAAATATCATTTAATGACATTATTTTCATCTCATAAATTTTTTTAAAAAAGTTATGTGTACATTTTATCATGTTTTAGAAACAAATTAGAGAATGACATTTAAAAAAATGTCATGATGTGTAAACTTGGTTTAAATTGTTCTTAATTCACCTTGGAACTGGTGCTGAATTCTTGCATGGCGAAGCATTCAATTTTGTGGAATGCAGAGCTAAGTCAATTAACTGAGTATGACTAAAAAATACTGAGGAAAATTAGTTGTTGATTGTAGGCGGAAAGACCTTTATCCATCAACAACATCATTAATTGATTATTTGACTATAACTCCGCCAATAAATGATCATCGTCAGACCCCTTCTATTTTCAGTTGGAAAATGGTGTTTGTACTAATCTCGATAAAAAGCAATTTATTAATGATGTTATATCTCAAGAATTAAAAAACTTATAATTTTAATAAATAAATTATACTAATTAATTTAATGGATTTTTTATTTTTAATAAAAGTATATCTGAATCAATTTATTAATTTTAGACCTAAAACTAAAGATGTTTAATTGTTGGACTTGGCTTCAAATTATAAATACAAGTCTAGCGCGGCGTAAGGATACCGTAGCATATTCTCAATCTCGCCTCTCTCAGGTCTCAAGTTGCCCCATATAATGAATGCCAATCGCCAATGCTTAAAAGTCACTATATCATTACTTCAAATCATGCAATCGTCAAAATGAATTTCAAACAATAAAAAGAAAATATATTATAACTTACAAAGTTGTGATTTTCGTTAAATAAGGAACAAAAATATAAATAACATTTAAGGTTTTGACGTTTTAAAGTTTATACGACTTAAAAACATGTTAATATTTTAATTTTATAAAGTACTATTATTTAAATTATTATTATACTATATATTTATTATATTAATTAATGTCTCACTTTTTATTATCTTTTAATGAACATATATGAATTATTAAGGAAAAATTATGAAAGTTTAATTATTTATTAATTTCATAAAATAAATATAAAAAATTAATAAATTTTTAAAAGAACTGAAAAAAAACTCAAGTCAAGTTATGGACACACTCGATAGCATATGATAAATTATTGAAGATCCTGTTTTGTGTTAGCCTTAACATGGAATACTTTAAACAGAGTTAAAATTCAAAGGCATAAAGAAATGAATAATATAGATTAAACTGTCAATTCATTTGTTAGCTGTCGTAATTTTTCACATGTCATATATATAATAATTATTTGGGGTGACGAAAATAAAAAGAAAAAGAAGAAGGTAGAACTCCGATGAAAGAAGGCGCCAAAAAACCACTTGCTACTGTGCCCAATAAACACTTGTTACCATTTTAATACAGCGAGTTTGAACTTTGAAGTTTGAACTTTGAACGGTCAAAAGCGAAGAGAACCAGACTACAGCACACTTCACCCATTTTTCTATTTTTTTATTTTCGATTTACTCGAAAATACACATATTTTAAAATATAAAAAAATTAGAATGGGTTTTCTTCTTTGACTGTCACCAGCGCATTATAGCACACCACACAAAAAAGCAGAGAACAACTGTTCCTCACACAAATCCAAACACGCCATGGATCTAACTTTCTCATCCTCCTAACCTTCGTTTTTGCAATCAGCCTCCTTCGTTTTCGTTCCAAACGGTAGATTTCCCTTTCTCTCCATTTCTTCTTTTGTATATTTTTTTATTCTAAATATTTATGGTTTTACGTCGTAGCATTTTGTTTTGTTTTTTCTGTCAGAATTTTGTTCTTCTTTTTTTCTCCGATGTGACTGATGTTTGTTTTTTTTTATGTGTCAAACTCGTTGCCTTCGTTAATTTCTTTTTTGTATATTCGGATCCAGTTGTTTCTCGTTCATTTTCGGGGATCTACCGTCTAGGTTTTGGTTAGGGATTTTTTTTTTCAAGTTTCTGTGTTGACGATGAGTTTTCCGTTGGATTTGTGGTGTTCAGTGGGGATTGATTGGATTATTGATATTACTTGTATATATATATTTTTCTCAAAATGGATGTTTATTTATGTGCCTAAATGGATTTGCTTTTATTTTTATTGCTTTAATTCATGTTTGCTGTATGTTAACGGTGCAGCTTTCCTATTCGGTTCAGTTTTCATGTCTGTTAACTCTATTTTTGGTTATGATTAATACTTGAAATTATTATTATTATTATTTTATTTCTTATTTTTTTATTTTTACTTATGATGGAATTATTCGTTCTGGTAGGTGAATGAGTGGTTTTTGAGCAGTTGAAAGAGAAGGGGATTCAGTGACGATGACATCGGTTGGTGTGGCACCAACCTCAGGTTTGAGAGAAGCTAGTGGCCATGGAGCAGCAGGTGTTGATAGATTGCCTGAGGAGATGAATGACATGAAAATTAGGGATGATAGAGTATGTCACCCCACTCTTAATTCTTAAATTTGTTTTTAAAAATTATTTTGTGTGGAGCTTATTTAGATTTCTGGTCCAGTTACTTACAGCTTGCTTCATTTGTAGGAAATGGAAGCCACAGTCGTTGATGGCAATGGAACGGAGACAGGACATATCATTGTGACTACGATTGGGGGTAGAAATGGTCAGCCGAAGCAGGTATACTTTCTACCTTCATTTTTCTACTATCAGTCATATATGTAGTTTGAAATAATTTAACCATTGCACCTTCTACCTTACTGTGCCTACCCCATGCTGCTTGGAATGCCACAAACAATCAATGCTTCAGATGCATATTATTATTTGTGTAAATTCTCCCCTTCCCCTTAGCTGCTGTAATCTTAAACATTGGTAACTGTGTTCAACATGTTTGTGTTGTGTCTTGTGATTGGCAAGTAAGATCACTTATTGGTTACTATTTGATGAAGCTCTATGAGATACTACTGGATAGGGTGATAATTTATTTCATTCAGTGTGGTTTTATTGTATTCTACATGTTCTCTTTAAATCTTCTATTCCAATTATTTTATCTTATTTTAATATATCTATATCGCTCCTAATATTTCAGACTATAAGCTATATGGCAGAACGTGTTGTAGGGCATGGATCATTTGGAGTTGTGTTCCAGGTAAAAAAATTTATCCAGTTGACTGGATGAGACATTACTTTTTTCAATATTGCAACATTTGTTGCCTTTATTTCTGATAATGTGCATGATTGTAGGCTAAATGCTTGGAAACTGGTGAAACTGTGGCTATCAAAAAGGTTCTTCAAGACAAAAGGTATAAGAACCGGGAGCTGCAAACAATGCGCCTTCTTGATCACCCGAATGTTGTCTCTTTGAAGCATTGTTTCTTTTCAACCACTGAGAAGGATGAACTATACCTTAATTTGGTACTTGAGTATGTTCCTGAAACAGTTCATCGTGTGATCAAACATTACAACAAGCTGAACCAAAGGATGCCACTGATATATGTCAAACTCTATACATACCAGGTATGCCTGCTGCTCTTCTTGACTTGTTTGTATTCAGTTTTTATCTCATTGAGGTTGTAACAAATTTTTTGACATATTGCAGATCTTTAGGGCATTATCATATATTCATCGTTGTATTGGAGTCTGCCATCGAGATATCAAGCCTCAAAATCTACTGGTATGCTCTGTATTTTATTTCTTGTAAATCGTTGATAATTTTTCTGTTTTTGTTCTAGTTTTATTGCTCCATTGTGATGATTGTGTTTAGGGTGACTAAAGGATAGAAACCAGCTAATTCAAACGCTGGTGTGTGAATGTTCAGTAGATATTGCTGACTAAATGGTTTTCTATGCAGGTCAATCCACATACTCACCAGGTTAAATTATGTGACTTTGGAAGTGCAAAAGTCTTGGTATGCTACATATTTCTGTGCATTTTTACGTCTTCATCCTTTAATCATTCATGCTTGATTTTTGTTCGGCTAGATAGTTTTACTTTTCCTTATTTGGTCTGATGACCTTTGACAGGTAAAAGGCGAACCAAATATATCGTACATTTGTTCTAGGTATTATAGAGCACCTGAGCTTATATTTGGAGCTACTGAATATACTACAGCTATTGACATTTGGTCTGTTGGTTGTGTTCTAGCTGAGCTGCTGCTTGGACAGGTTGGTGGCTGTTGATGTATTTTTTTTTTTTGAAAAAATTTTGGCTTTAGTATATTCAATTAAAATTTGTATTTTCTTTTTACAGCCTTTGTTCCCTGGTGAGAGTGGAGTTGATCAGCTTGTTGAGATCATAAAGGTAGTCTTTTTGACATATAACTTCTGTCATTGTTGTAATATTTTCCTCATTTGTATTGCATCCCTTTGAGTGAGCTTGAGATGTACTTGGATATTCTATTAACTAACTTGTATCAACATTGTGTAACACATGCTGAACTGTTGATCTTGTACTTTGCTTTCACCTTTTTAAGCTTGATAAGTGAGCTTTTTTGTTGCAGTGCACTGTCTATAACATTGTAAATGAACCATTTGTTGTTTGTTTTGATAGGTTCTGGGCACTCCAACAAGGGAAGAGATTAAATGCATGAACCCTAATTATACAGAATTTAAATTCCCACAGATTAAAGCACATCCATGGCACAAGGTAGTTCAAAGATTAAAGCACATCCCTGCTTTATTCTTAAGCTCATCATACTGATGTATTTAAAAATTCTTATTGAGCTGACTATAATAAGATATATTCGTTGTTATTCTTGTACTAGATCTTCCATAAGCGCATGCCTCCAGAGGCTGTTGATTTGGTATCAAGACTACTACAATACTCCCCTAACCTGCGGTGCACAGCTGTGAGTATATGACTTCTTGTCAGACCTAAGAAAAAAGATAATAATAGTGCTTCGTTGTGTGTCATATAATGCTCTTGGAAGTTTGTGATTGACAGTTAAATGGTTTCTAATCAAATTATTCAATGGGTATTTGTCATCCTGTAAGTATGCATATATAATGTGTTTTTGGTTTGTGGCTGCAGTTAGATGCGTTGACACATCCTTTCTTTGATGAGCTTCGTGACCCAAATACTCGCTTGCCAAATGGTCGTTTTCTTCCACCACTATTTAATTTCAAATCTCACGGTATGTTGATTTTGGAAATGGCTAGTGTTTTATGTTACAATGCTCGTCTTATGTTTTCGTTGTTAATAGTTCTGCCTGACTCTTCTGATGTTATTGGTGCCTGCATATACCAGAACTGAAGGGAGTCCCAGCTGAGATTTTGGTGAAATTGGTTCCAGAGCATGCAAGGAAGCAATGTCCGTTTCTTGGCTTGTGATATGTCGTGAAATGTAACAAATCTGCCAGTGTTGTTTCCATATGAGAATGCTACGCATTCGTTCAATTCGATATATTTGTTCGTATCTTTGTTGTAATCGGTTGCCTTGTAAAAGCAGATTTAGAGATACATGCTACTACTCATTATTACCCAACCCTCGATGGGTATGCAGAATACCCTGTTTCCTGTATCACAGCAGATTGTAACAAGCAATAGAAGACACGTCTGCAATTATCTAAATGTTGTATTTGTTGAGACAATGATGGGTGGTTGGCTTAATTTAGTTAATGGTGGTTGGAAGTTGTAATGGCCTTGTCTGTCGGCATGTTAATTTTTCACGCTGTCGGTAATATCTGGTGAAAGGACATGGGACCAAGTCTCGGTGCTTGTCTGTAATAGATAACTGGGTTGAGAAATACTAGTATTAAACTACTCCATAAATGGAAGTGATCGTTGTTAGTGTAATAAAAACAGGTCAGGAAGGTTTGTTCTGTTTCTCTTTTTTTTTTTTTTTCTAAAATATCATGGTTGTGATGTCTGAGAGGACTTGGGTCAACACTGTTGAAAAACTTGTATAGGCAAGCACGACTCTTTGTTATGGTACAAGGGTTATCCGGGGAAGTAGGTCAAGGTAATTGTCATTTCTACTGACATAAGAAAATGAGTTAGCACAGTGAACAGACTAAAATGTTTTGCCGTTGGATGATATTTGCTACGGGTTTTACCTTTTTTACTTCCTTTTTTTAAGAAAATTGTTTTGATTCGCCTCCTAGAGTATATAAATTAATGATAAAATTTATAGTACACGTATTATTGAGGAGCAAACAATGCTCTCTCTAAACGTATTTATGTATTATTATTTAACGATCCTCTAATTTAAAAATTAATCTTTCTAACTTTTCTGTAACTGTTTGGGATAAGAAAAAATTTTTAAGTTAAAAAAACATGATGAAGGAAGCTACATTTTGATAAAATTTTAAGGGTCAGGAAGGAGCTTAAAAATAGGTCTAAACTTAAGAAGTATTGGAAAGTTGGTGAAGACCTTTTTGTTTCATAACAAAAAGGAAACATTTAGAGATATTTTAGAGGTTTTTGTCACTTCATTAATTTTTCTCTAAAACTGATGGCCTTTTCGAGGAGTTTTGAGAGATTTTCAAGTCCCTGATACTCAAAATTGCTCGAAAAACAGGAAATGGTCAGAAAATATTCTAAGTTCACAAAACTGATGACCTTTTTGAGGAGTTTTGAGGAGTTTCCAAGTTCCTGACTCCCAAAATTGCTCGAAAAACAGGAAGCGATCAGTGATGGAACGAATTTCGCTACTCATTATGCACAAAGATTGTCGTTAATCCTCATCAAGTATGCAAAGAAATAAATGCAGTACTAGGGTGTTGTCCTAGGTCGTCTCCAAGGAATTTTTAGTTGGGAACATACATTGAACAAGTGTAAATATAGAATTTAAAACAAGTAAATTGGAGGGAGGTTTGTCAATTTCCAGATTTTAATCAAGAGCAAAATGTAAACTAGTGAAATTCAATCAATTAAGGAGAGTAATCCCTAGTCAATCAATGAGTTCTATCCCTATTCTTTCAAATGATTCAATAATCCCCTATTTTTCCCTTGAATTAAGTTAATCTATCAAGCATAAATTAACTTTAGCATCCCAATTAAAATTAAGCATCTTAATGGGCTCCAATCTCTATCCCTAAGATTAAGCAATCTCAAAGATTAATCAAAATTAAGCAATTTTGGATTAGAATTTCGTTTAGGTAATTTAGGGTTTATTAAGCAATGTTCCCCTCATGTAAATTTCATTTCATTCAGAGATTGGGGTTAATAAATCCAAGGAAAGAAAGAGTAATATTGCCATTAAACCTAAGAATTCAAGAACCATATGAGTTGACTAGGAATTACAAGAGAATTTAGCGCTCTATATGGATGGGCTTCACAAATAAAAGAAAGAAATACAGAAACGTAAGCAACATTAATGTAAACTCAATGAGAATCAAAGGAAAATTGGAAATCAAAACCTATAATGGACTCCTGGCTGTCCCCCAAGGCTCCAAAGCTCTGGAAAGAAAATGTCCTAATTTGGCAAAGAGAATCAAAGAAAAATAAAATGTTCAAGTCCCCGTACCCTAATTCCTAAAATCTATTTATAGTGGAGGACATGTCAGCAAAGTGTCCACATTTGCCTTTGAAAGTGTCCACTTTGGCCCTTGAAAGTGTCCACACGCATATTTACGTAAGCTTGCCAATTCTCTGGAGTTGCCACTTTTCATGCTGAAAGTAGCTACTTTGGATGCACGTAGCCACTATGAAAGGCAATAGTGACCACGTGCAAATTGCTTCCAAAAGTGGCATCCTGGAGCTGTCTGGAGTTGCTACTATGAAGGTTGAAAGTAGCTACTTTGAAACTTTTAATGCCCAAACTTGCTCTAGTTGCTACTTTTGCTCCTGAAAGTGGCTACTTTGGGGGCAACTTTCGTCTAAGGGCAAAGATTTCTCAAAATTAACTTGGGGACTCTGCAAAATTATCAAGATAATTAAAATTGCAATCTATATCTATGTAATTAAATGCAAATTAACCAAAAATTAATAAACCTATGATATTTACTCAAAATGTGATTCTGTATTATTTGCACTATCTAAATCCATTTTTTTCCATCAAGTAGCACCAAAAAGGCAAGTAAAAATATAATAAAAAGTGGATTCATCAGTCAGGAAATATTCTAAGTCCACAAACCTGGTTGAGCTCCAGATTCCCTCCAGAATTGCTAGAAAAATAGGAATGAGTAAAGAAAATATTCTAAGTCCACGAGATCAAGACAAGCTCTCAAAACCCTAGAATTAGTCGAAAAGAGAAGGCAAGGAGAAATTATTCTTAGGCTATAAACTAAATGAGCCTCCTAAGACCCTCCCAGAACAACTCGAAAGATGAAAAATTGACTTGAAAGGTTAAGTTCAAAAGCAGTTATTAGCAGTTACCAACATTGGGCAAAGGTTCAACTATGCAAAGAAAAGATCGTGGGTGATAACGGTTACCAGCAGTTATCGACAGCACGATCACAAGCAATCGTGGATAATGAACATAACAGTTGAAGGCAGTTACTAAGAAGTGCCTGCAAAAGGAGGAGAACGGTGGTGATCTTCCTGCCTATAAATACCCCAAAGTGTCATTTTACGGAAGACGACTTTTTGCACCCTGACACCGCACCTAAAACTCTACACGCTGAAACCCTGCACTGCGCCAGACACTAGCTACAAGGAGACTCACGGTGGCCGCTGTCCGCTGTTGTGAGGAGTCGCACGTTTACATTCATGTACCTTTACATTCCTGCATATTTACCTTTCTACATTTTAATTCCAGCTTGTTGCTTATTTCGTTTCTGCAATTTGCTTTTTATTTAGCACATTTCTATAAAAGACATCTACTTTTGATTAAATTCTGTTTCACTATTAGTTGCTATTTCTGTTTAATCCTGTGCTTTATAACGTCAATCCTACTGTTACGTTAACAACACACTTAAAAGAACCCAAAGAGGATCTAATCCAGTCCCCAGATTGCTCTTGGATTATTTGTTTACAAATATTCACTTTTCACCGTAAACAAATTGGCACGCTCGGTGGGACTATATTTAGTGTGTTTTTGAATAATTGATTGATTGCTTTGTTGCATGATATTATGTAACGGACATTGTATTATGGCTAATAGAGGAAGAAATAGTGATTGTAGTTATGGGAATGGCAATTCTAGAAGTGACGGTAGTGATACCAACCCAGATAATGTAAGTGGCGGTGCTAACATTGCCGCACAACCCACATCAACGATGACGTTACCTACGCCATCATCTCTTGTAGTTAGCCAATTTATGGCTACTATGCCAACCAATCCCAGCATAAATCTTGGCCCAAGGCCAAGGCTGGGTGATCATCCATTTGGCTTACCTCCTGTGTGTATGCCGCCTATCTTTGGAGTACCAACCTACTCCAACCTTGTGGTGACAACCGTGTCATCCCAGAGTCACACCATTCCACCGGGAATGGGTGTACTTCATACCATTCCACCGGGAATGGGTACGATTGGTGGAGTACATGGAACGCAATTTGCATTTAGAGATTTGAGCGGGGATTCACTTCCTGCTAGCTCATTTTCGAATGTTGCCTTACATTCCATGAGGCAACAAATGGATGAAAGCAATCACGAGATGGTCAATATGCTGACCCATCAGATGACCACTGTGTTGAATCCCATAGTGGAAATGACTAATACCAGCTATCAAGTTTTGGCTGAACAAATACGTCAAATTGCTGACGTTTTTGGGGCACCTCAAGTTCCTATAAGGCAAGGGCAAAATGTTGCCCAAACGCCTAATCAAAATGCCACAGATCTTGGTCAAAATGGTCAAGTTTTCGAGCAAAATGGTCCAAATTTTGGACCAAATCTTCCGAGACAAAATGAGGGAAATTTCCAGGTGCACCAACCCCCAGGTTTTGCTCGAAATCAAAATGCTCCAGTTGAGCAGATTGGTCGAAATTTTGATCAAAACCTTCTAAGACAAAATGAGGGTGATTTCCAGGCAAATCAACCCTTTATTATTGCTCGAAATCAAAATGCTGACGAAATACTCGAGCAAGTTAGGAAAAATAATGTAGGGGGCATCAAATTCAATATCCAAATAACCTGAATCCTCAAAATATTGCCAATGTAGTTGAACAAGTGTTGAATCAACATGGGTTCGACGTAGGGTATGCTAATACACCCTACTTTGTCTCGACATTCTCTGAGACAATTTTGCAGGCTGAACTGCCTCGGGGCTGGAAAGTCCCAAAATTCACTAAATTTGCTGGAGATTCCGGTGAATCCACAGTAGAACATATAGCTAGATATGTCATAGAATGTGGAGATTTAGCTCGAAATGAAGATTTAAAGTTGAAATACTTTCCTAGTTCTTTGACTAAAGGGGCCTTTACTTGGTTCACAACCTTACCCCCGAATTCAATTCATAATTGGAATCAACTAGAAAGAAGGTTTCATGAACAGTTCTTTCGTGGTGAAGCGAAAGTTAGCTTAATGGATTTAGTCAATATAGAAAGAATGCATAATGAATCCATTGATGATTATCTAAGTAGATTTTGACAAATGAGGTCGAGATGTTTTACTCAAATTCTAGAATATGAGTTAGTCCAAATGGTTGTAGGTGGATTAGAATACTCCATTAGAAAGAAATTGATTAATCAGCAGCTAAGAGATATGTCGCAATTAGCGACAAAAGTAAGGCAAATTGAGCAACTTAAGGCTGAAAAATCTGTTCCTAGGAGAATAGAGAAATTTCCTCGAAAAGACAAAGTGGCTTACATAGGTCTCGCTGAGGGAGAAATAGGAAGTGAGAATGATCTCGACGAAAAAGACGTCGATTTAGGGGTCAACGAGGTGAATGTAGCTGAATTAAAACCAGGACCCCCTTATGTTTGCCAATCTTTAAAACCACTCAAAATTAAAGACAAAACTCGGCCTAATAAAAATTATGCCTTTGATGTCTCTAAAGCTGATCATATCTTTTTATATTTTATTGAAAGATGGGCAAATTGTATTATCTGATGATCACAAGATCCCTACTTTAGAACAAAGAAGGGGTCGAAAATATTGCAAGTTCCATCATGTTTATGGTCATTGGACTAACAATTGTGTTCGTTTCAGG